GACCCCAATGCAATATTCAATGTGAATACCTGGCTCAAAATACCCAAATCAAATCAAATTAGCTGCGACTATCTGGTTTGAGAACTCCAATGCAATATTCACTGTGACTCCCATACCCAAGGAATCCAATGAAATATTTGTACACATTTCAAATACTAGTTATTTATATTTCTTTCATCATTGTTAAATTTCAGGCTATAGTAAAAAAAAAAATGAACCGTATTTACTTCGTCTAACAGTGCAAGATGTAGTGGTGTGTGGTCAGTCATCCTTTGGAAATAACCAGGGTCTGCTACTGTTTGTTTAACCCAAAACAAGACACCTACAGCAACTATGGGATACCTAGACAAAAATAAGATACCATATTCACTCTATTAGAAGTGAATCACCAATAGAAGCACACATAAATTAACAAGCAGCCAGTCGGCTGAGATAGCTCATTACTAAATGAACAAATCTGAGAGAGGTCCACATGTAGTACCTATATATGTAATATCAAAGCAATTGGACTTGCGGTTTTCAACATGAAGTCGAAAATATCACTTTTTATCAAAAATGGCAAAAATATTAAGCAAAATTAGAGAATTGAAAACATCATCATGAAATGAACAAATCTGAGAGAGGTTCACATGTAGTACCTATATATGTAATATCAAAGCAATTGGACTTGTGGTTTTTAACAAGAAGTCGAAAATATCACTTTTTACCAAAAATGACAGAAATATTCACCAAAATTAGAGAATTAAAGATATCATTACAATATGAACAAATCTGAGAGAAGTGCACATGTAGTACCTATATATGTAATATCAAAGCAATCGGACTTGTGGTTTTTAACAAGAAGTCGAAAATATCACTTTTTACCAAAAATGACAAAAATATTCACCAAAATTAGAGAATTGAAGATATCAACATGAAATGAACAAACCTAAGAGAGGTCTACCCAAGGTACATATACACCAAGTATCAAAGCATTCAGGCTTGTAGTTTTCAAGAAGAAGTCGAAAAAGTAAAACATTGACACGGACGACGGAGACGGACAATCACTCATATGATAAGCTCCGCTCGACAGTTCTTGCATTGAGCTAAACATACCTTATACACTGATAAAGTACTTGTATTTCTGCTGTCAATTCCTGAGCGCCTTTACTTTCATTACAACATAAATGATGTACTCTTTCTATAGCCTGTGATGTAGCTTTTAATTCATCTTTATTGATGGAGAGTCTCCTTCCCTACAAACACATACAGTACTATTTTAATGGACATAAATATATCAGACCCAGAATAAAGCCAAACAGATTCCAAAACTCAATGTTGGCACATGTTTTTAAAATTGTGTTTATTTTTAAAAATGAATTTTTCTCTAATCTTGAAAAAAGCTGCACACAATTTCAACAGATGCCCATGATGACTAGAAACATGAATAGTTTTTGTCTTGGCCTTCTAAGATAACAATTTTGACTATACTTAAACTATCCAACATTTAAGTTTAAACTCAGCACAAAAATTCAAATGATAGTGCACACTAAATCTGCATGTTATATACACATTACACCTAGGGAAAGGAAACTCTTTATGATATTTTGGCACAACCTGCTTGTATAATAGATAGAAAGTGCATGAGAGATAAATTATGAAGTGCCAATGACATAATATATCAATATGGAAGTGATGACATATATATATTAATGAGTTAGATGAGAGAACAACTCACTTGTTGCCAAGACTCATGTACACAGACAGCATATGCCAAGACGTAGACATATTTACTGCGATGTTCTGGATTCACTTTAGCTCCAGGTTTAAATAAAGAATGTATAAAAATAATAAGCAACTGAGGTATTCTTATCAGCTCCACTGGTGGTGGATCAGGACTACTGTACATCTTGAATAACTACAGGGTGAAAACAAATCAGAAGTTGTCATTAATGAGTAACATAATCAGCAACTTTAAGGATTGTAGTTGTTTGCTCACCATGTGTTTGAAGTTTTCATCTGATTAGCAATTCAATTACATACGCTTACATTTCATTCTATAATATATGCAAAATAAATTATGATTTTGATTTTGATTTTAGAGATAAATTTGCAGCCTTGTAGAATTTTCATAGCCCAAATGCCATCTATGACTGTAAGACTTTTGAAATTTTTACGAATACTAGATTAGTGGAAATGGTATGCCTTACATATAGGACAGTCTGCACATGCGAGTTCTCATGGTAATGTACTGACATCATGGACACAGCCAACCATTGATGACATAGAATTCTGTGTTACCTACATAGTTACATAGTAACTCACTACTGCCTAGAATTCTCCGGGCTCGAAGTCATAATCATGTAACTCAGGAGGGCTGTTACTCGCCTCTCAATTTCTATTCAATCAAAAATTTACACTTACAACTGTTATATCAGCTGGGTTGAGTGCATGTCTTGACAACATAGAAGCAATGGCCTGACAGGCTCTAGGATAGGCAGCTGCATTCGTTAGAGACAAACTTAATGAATCAACATCATATCCTCTATAAAAATACAAAAATCCAGATGTCACAAAACTTGCGTGTGCATAAGAATATTGTTGATTGTGTATTTATAGAACAATCATTTCATCACTTTGTCTCGGCAGTATTCATGCTACAAGCTAAAAAATGTTAAACTTGTCACGAGTTTTGACTGAGCAGATGGTCTACAATTTGACTATTATGTAACAATAGCAGCTAATTCACTTCAATGACTGTGATATATAATTTGGACCCATTTTGAAGAGAAATGACACAAGACATAACAGAAATATACAACTCTTGTGTAATATATTTATATATACCGGTACCACATATTTATTTATTTTTAAAACAGAATCGAGTTTTATTGTTTTGTCAATGCTTGCTGCAATATGGATTGGTCCACAGTGGGTGAACCCCAGCTGCCACAGACCACCCGTTTAGTCAAATGAAAAATTGTCAGTGATTCAGTGAGCAAGTGGCTGCTTGAAAACTTCTGAGAGTTGTGAAAAGACAAGAGTAGTGCTGACTAGCAAGAGACAAGACATGATTCAATATCATTAGCTTTGTCATCTGATACTCCTATACAACATGGTCTAAAACTGTAGGACTTAAATCACTGCCTAGCACATACAAGATTCTGAAGCAGCTCTGAGTCAACACCAATATTGTTATGACCAGTCATTTATACGACTTTGTTTGTCTCAGTTTAACACATCCTATGCTGAAGTCCATCAGAAATATCTGAGAATATTGTATGAGTGAAAAGTACACATTTCAAACTCAATATGTCTGGTATAAAACTGATGTTGGTTTAGTAAAATATCTGCATATTTCTTGTCTTATGTGATTGATATTGTTGTGCATTCATTCCAGAGACATCATAATGCAGCCATTGAGCACTTACTTTTCAGATGCTGATTTCTGTACTTCTTCACTAATTCTCCTAATAACAGAGCCAGCTTGTGGATCAATACCCAATATCTGCAGTAGTGCTTGACAGTATAAATAGGTATGTTCACCATGACATACCATTTTCTAGACAGTGAAGATAAAATCAAAGAGACTTTAGAAAAAAAACCTTATAATCAAAGGGTATTCCAGGCAAAGATTGAAGCAATGAGCAGATATTAAATTTCGTCAAAAATGCTTAAACTATACTTATACAAATTTAAAATTTGGCTGATTATTATGCAAATTAAGTAATAAATATGCATGGTTTTCAAATCAAAACTTATTAGATTTATTGATTAACCAAGAGCAACAATGTACCAAGTTTCATTGAATTCTGATGAGTGGTTGAGATAGCTGAATACTGGCTAATTATGCAAATTAAGCAATATTCACAGATTACATGTACATAGGGTTCAAACCCCAGATGTTTGACAGTATCGTTGAAGATTTAATTTAGTGAAAATATGGAATGAGTGAGGTTATTCAAGGAGGTGAAAACATGTGCTGAAAATATACCTGAACGCTAGAAAAAACACATTGGAATGAATGCAAATAAATATTTTCACAGACTCACTCATTTGTTCAGTCTGTCTTGCGAGTTGTGTGATCATCTCAAAATTCACACGACTTCAATTGAATCACGCTAGTTGCATACACGTATCTTAAAAATCCTTAGGACTACAATACCTAAATCAGTATTAGAATTAAACATATTCTTGACTAAGTAGGATCAATACATGACCTCTACTTACAGTGAATTCAGGCAGCTGCTTGTCAAATTCTTCAGCTCCTTCTAGTAATTTAACTACTGAAGTCCTCAAAACCCGAGAGAATATTTCAACTTGATGGCAGGCTGTAGAGATGTTTGCAATTTCACCTTGATAACCAGCATCTGAAATAATCTGTAAGTATGAAAGTGATTAGTCCAATAATTTCAGAGAAGTATACATTTTTAGATTGGCCAATAAACATAATATAATGATTTCTCAGAAATAGATGCAAAATTCTACAAAGAAAGTGCAATGATTTCATGGGTAGCCAACTATTTCTGTAGAAATTTCACAGTGCATCCAACAGTGATAAGAAACATAATACCTTTATTGTAAAATTCAGCATGAGGCAGTCTGGATATTGTTCAGCTAGTTTATAAAACAATGATCTCCAGGTCTGATGTTGAATCATGTTCTCCAACCAAGAGGGGGTCTGTAAAAGATATGAAAAACAAGTCATTGAAAATGACACAGTCCCAGTTAATTTTTGAAATTTCTCTTTGTGCTCGTCATATTAAAGTGGAGGGGTTATCGTGAGCATGTCCTTGAAACTTGAGTCTCAAGTGGCGTATACAACAGATTGTTTATTTACATAAAATTCGAACATGTGTTGTGTGACGACTCCTCCAGTTTAAGACATAGCAAAGAAAAACATAGATCACAAGTGAAAGCATGTCCAAGTTATAACATTTTAAACAAACAAGATGGCCGCCAGTCGGCCAAATTTGATCAAATTGCAAATTGAATTGACATGTACATGTATCCATTTATGACATGCTAAATATCAATGAAAATGATACATGGATGACAGAGATAAAGTAATATGGCCACAAATAAAAACAGCCGTTATTCGGCCATCTTTGATCTGATTATGAAACAAAATGACATATATGATGTATGTGCCAAATACGAATGAAAATGGTACATAAATCTTGGAAATACATGTATAGTAGTAAGGCCAAAAAGCATCCTGTCGGCTGAGATAGCTCTGCTGTTAGCAATGCACATTTCAACAAGTCATTGAAAGTGACACAATCCCCGTTAAATTTTTAAAAGTTCTCTTTGTGCTCGTCATATTAAAGCGGAGGGGTTGTCGTGAGCGTGTCCTGGAAACTTGAGTTGCAAGTGGCGTATACAACAGATTGTTTATTTACATCAAAACACGTGTTCCACGTAGTAGTAATATGGCCAAAAATAAAAACAGTCGTTATTCGGCCATCTTTGATCTGATTATGAAACACACTGATGTGTATGATGTATGTGCCAAATAGGAATGAAAATGGTACATAACTTGTGAAAATATAGTAGTAAGGCCAAAAAGTCAGATGGCTGTCAATCGGCCATCCTTGACCAGATTTTGAAACAAATTGTCAGACATGCATCCTAACATGTATAAAGTATATGTGCCAAATTTGAATGAAAACTGACAAAGCACGTCCAAGATACAGCATAAAAAAAAAAAACAAGATGCCTGCCAGTCGACCGACCATCTTTGATCCAATTGCGAAATAAATCGTCATGGACATGTATCCTAACATGTATAATCTATGTACCAAGTTTGAATGACAACTGACAAAGCAAGTCCAAAATACAACATTTTCAAAAAACAAGATCAGGATGGACGCACAGACGCACGGACGGAGACCGAATTATAAGTACCCGTTTTCGAACTTCGTCCGAACGGGGACTAAAAAATACTGCAACTCAGACAAGTAAATAGCCATTACATTAACCAAACACCAAAGTCAATATTTGAAGTTGTTTTTCCATATTTTTTTTCTAAACTTTTGATGGACAGCTGTAACCCATGTGAAATTATTTTAATTTGGTTCAAAATTAACAGAAAAATACATAAAATGTTGCACCAAAAATTTGGTGAAAAAAATGATGGTGTTTGAGAGTTAATGGCAAACAGAGTAGTATATAAGCACATAATTGAATATAACCAAAGACATAAGATGTATTTGATATAACATTGGTAGAGAATTGAGATGAATGATTTGTGGGTTATGCAACTGGTTTATCGTATTCATCTGACAGATAACCCTGGGTGATGTTTTTGATATTGGGTCATATTTTGGGAGATCACCAAAACATTCATCCTAATATTGTTTTGTACAAACAACTATTTTCAGCTCTATGTGAGGCATCAACATAGATCAATTTTCTTATACAGTAATTTGATCAACACTTGGTACCGTAAAAACTATTAATTTGCAGACTCTTCTAATTCGCAAACTAGAATCAATGACAAATTTAATTCACGCTCTAACTTTTTATGCAAAACATAGCATGGATATTATTATTGTTAAAGGCCCAATTCACTTGCCCCGGGCAAGTGTGAATTAGAGGTGCGGCTATGCTAATGAGTGTTGTTAATCACTTGCATAGCCTATGACGCATCCTGTTTCAGCGGTCCAACATGTGACTTTGATTGACAGTAGTTAATTATTCAAGATTAGTAGAGCGTCCCTTTCCCTGGTTCGTGTTATTGACTTTTATCTGCCAAAATCTCAGTTTGTACACTATTTATTGTCATAAATACCACACACAGTCACTGCTGTGATATTTATAGTCACATACATCCACTTCAGCACGACATAATCGACCTGTAAGTTCGAGAAAACGCGTTTTTTACCGGAGCTTGGCTCGAGCTGTTTAATACAGCGTGACAAGCAAGGAAATAATCCCTATTGTTTAGGAGCGTATTTATAGTATACCTGGGCCTTTAAGCGATTTGAAAAAAAAAATGTGTTGTAAAACATAACCTTCTGATGTATGTCACCCCAGAGATCGCAACACATCAGTGACGATTTCAACAAAATGTGAACTTCAAACTTTTTCACTCACAACATACGTACATGTAACTATAGGGATGTGGCAAGGATAAAAGTGCGTCAAAGCAATGAAATAGATCAGAACATTTCCTCAGTTAGTGTGGATATATGGATGCCATGAGTGAGCCGCTGCATGAATTCACATCTTTGATTGGATAGCTGCTCGACCTTGTAGTGCCACTAAAAACTCGCCAAATCAACAAAGATTTCAGTAGAGTAATTTTGAATTTCAGTTTGCATCTTAAATTACTCAAACAAAGAACTATTTTTTTAGCATAACATGGATGTCACAGCACTATTTTTTGGCAGAATTGAATACTTTCTACAAAGCTCCATTGTTGTGCACATGGATTTCTCACTGAATCTGTCGATGCTGACTTGTATCCTATTTATTCACGGTCTTGAATTATTTTTTTCTAGTATTGTTTTTGCGGCACAAAAACATCATCCATGTCAGTGCTGAAACTACCATGGGCGATCTTACAGATAATTATTGTATATAATGAGCAATTTGGGTGATCCTCTCATATGCTTGTCGATAGATTGACATCTCATCTTGTAGTTTCATTCACCAAGCCAAAATTGGTGATTCACACAATATTTTGCACAATATTTAATTCTAGTTCAGATATTAGCTTCATTCTTTAGTGATCCACTGGCCAGAATACTGATCTAAGGAGTTTTTAGAGTGATCAACAGAGTTCCCTGTAATCACCATAGATACTATGGCGATATTACTCTGACTAAAAAGCATGTTATATAAACCATGTGAAATTTAGATATATAGTTCATTTTTTCATAATCTCATCACATTGCGATAACATAATAGTGACTATTTAAACATAATAGTGACTATTTAAAAATAATTACCTCTCCTTCATCACTGAATATAGAATCAGCTTTTTTAGGATCAAAGTGCTTTACAATCAATGTTTTCAAGTGTTTTTCCACCATTTGTTGAACCTCAACAGCATTAACACCTGTAATGGAGAACATTTCACCTCTTAGTTACACGAATCAAGATTTCAGGTTAGGGTTAGGGTTACTGCAAATTGTCATGACACTTGTTTAATTGAATTGCTGTATTTGTTATCAGTATAGATGAGCAGATATTTACCAAGTCTCTGTTTCAAGAAAATTTTCAAATGTATGAATCAGGACTAGGTAACACATGTGGTTGTGGAAGTCTGTAGTCATTCACACATTTTCAACACTATCCAGTGCTAGCACTCAACATCCAAAATTGTGTCTTAGTAAAAGAAAATTTATACACTTAATACAGTGAAAATATGTCCTAAAATGATAGGTTGATTACTTACTGTGTCAACAAATTCTTACAATCAGCATAAAATATTTAAGTAATGTCCAATCAATGATACACAATTAATTTAAAGACACTAAACATTGCTGAAAAATTTTTGACATTTTAACTTTTATTTTTTACTAGACACATTTGACAATGAATAATATCACATTCATAGCAAGACATGTATCAACCTCCAGTAATGGTTACTCATTCCACTAAGTTTTAAAAAAATCTAAAAATAGTTAGCAGTTAGTCATCTTTGATGTGTGTCATGTATGTATGTCTGGAATAGAATTGGTCAAAAATAAAACAGATGCCAGTCTGCCATTTTGAGTAAACTTTGCTAATTAATGGTCAATTCTTTCACCGAGTTTGAAAAATATTAGACAATGCATGACTGAAAATCTGGTTTTAACAACAAATTGTCAGCAGTCAGCCATCTTTGAACGAATGACAAAATTTATGTATGTGCAGATATATACCATGATGTACTGCAGTAATTCAGAAGCTCACCAGACCTGCTAGTATTTTTTTCAAAATGTCCCAATTTTTGTTCAAACAATTCGGACAAAAAGCCCAAACTTTTTCTGTTAAATTTACAGTTTTACAAGCAAAATATGACAAATAATTAGAAATACAACCTGACACTAATTGGCATTTGGGAGAAAATGTTCCAAGCTAATTTTGAGTCAGGACATGTACAAGATTATGTCTGGAATGGAATTTGTCAAAAATAAAATGGTCACTGCCTATAATAGTAGTTCACGCATAATTTAGGTAAATGCATTTATTGTATGTGTTACTAATATAGTATGTAATGTAATTAGTTTGTAAGAGTAAAAGTGAAACAGTTGCTGTACAATGTGGTACGTGGTGAACACGATTGGAAACATTTAATTTATTATAATATATTGCTATGATTGTTGTGACTACATGACTTAGCCATAGCTCCAATAACTGGCGGCATGTCTGCCTATGGTACCAACCTGTTGATATGAGCCACTCTGCAAAAAGATTAACAGTCTGGGCAACAGCTGTATAGTTATCAGATAATAATTCCACTACCTGTTCTGGGGCACCACCAGCTCGGAAATATCTATAGACAACAAAGAACTCTATAGTGACTTTCCAACTTATAGAATTTTACATTACATATTTTGGGTTTTGCAATACAAACAAGCAGCCTATCGGCTGAGATAGCTCCGCTGTTAGCAATGCACATTTCAATTAAAGAACTGAAGACATCATTAGAAAATGAACAATATGTATAGTATCAAAGCAATCGGACTTACAGTTTTTAACAAGAAGTCGAAAATATCCCTTTCTACCAAAAATGACAAAAATATTCACCAAAATTAGAGAATTTAAGATATCATCACGAAATGAACAAATCTGAGAAAGGTCTACATGTAGTATCTATATATGTAATATCAAAGCAATTGAACTTTTGGTTTTTTAACAAGTCGAAAATATCACTTTTTACCAAAAATGACAAAAATATTCGCCAAAATTAGAGAATTGAAGATATCATCACAAAATGAACAAATCTGAGAGAGGTCCACATGTAGTACCTATATATGTAATTTCAAAGCAATCGGACTTACAGTTTTTAACAAGAAGTCAAAAATATCATTTTTTACCAAAAATGACAAAAATATTCACCAAAATTAGAGAATTGAAGATATCACTACAAAATGAACAAATGTGAGAGAGGTCCACATATAGTACCTATATATTTAATATCAAAACAATTGGACTTGTGGTTTTTAACAAGAAGTCGAAAATATCACTTTTTACCAAAAATGACAAAAATATTCACCAAAATTAGAGAATTGAAGATATCATCATGAAATGAACAAATCTGAGAGAGGTCTACCCAAGGTACATATACACGAAGTATCAAAGCATTCATGCTTGTTGTTTTCAAGAAGAAGTTGAAAAGTAAAACATTGACACGGACGACGACGACCGCCGACGACGAACGACGCCAACGAACAATCACTCATATGATAAGCTCCGCTCGATGAAGTCGACCGCGGAGCTAAATATACCTTCAAAATACTGAGAATATAAATAATTTGCCATAAACAATTTATGTCTGAAATGTTAGTGTTATAGTTGATGAGATATGGTAAACAATACATTTTCAAAGTTTGGTGAGCTAGCTATTTAGGTTTGATGCGAATATCGTCTGTGGCGAATTTCAAAAATATTTTAAACTTGTATGTATTTATATTCCAGAATATTAGAATTGCAATCTGCAATCACCATAATGCAATGTAAATATGAGAACCATTATGACCTTAGCTGTATAAATATAATCACTAAACAAGTGAAAATAATATTAACAGTAATGTTGGTTCAAAGATAAATAAAACTGAAATGAGTCGGCCATTTTTAATCTGAACTTGAAACAATGCATGTTAATATGTGCGACATTATGTATAATGTAACTGTAAAGTTTGATTGCAATCAGTAAAGGCATGTCTGAGACATGGCCATAGAACAGAATTTGTTAATACTAAATTTCTGTTTAAATTTTTGTTGTTTCATGTTATTTCAAGTTTGAACAATATTTGTCTATGTATGACCTTTGTAAATCTTTAAAGACACCAGGCTCCATTATATAATCTTTACTGGAAAAATTATCCAAGCATTCCTGCTGTATCAAGGCATCATTCTGTTCCTGATCTTGCTCATCTAGATAACTACCGGAAACCTAACAGATAAGAACAATCACAAAGGTACAATTAATTTAAAATACCAGCACATACAAACTAAACCAAAGCCTTTCCTTGTGGCCATGAGTTGATCATGCTTTTCTGTTTGCAGTGCTGCATATTGCAAATAAAACTAAAAAGTGAAATTGTTTTGTTATGTATTATTTGTTCAAATATATCTTTTGCATCAGTCATTTCGGTCATACGTTGTGCCGAAGGCAGACTTTCATGCCAGTGTCTTATACTAGTATATTAAAACACCATATATTTGTTTTCTTTTACTAATAACTAATGTGTTCAAGAAACATAATTTATTTTTGTTAGCTAATATGACAAATTAATCAGCAAATCATATTTTAAAGAAAATGATTATATGCTATTTATATTATTTCAGTATGACGTTTGGCAACATGATAGTTACATGTATGTTATAAAGCATATGAACAGCTATCTTCTGCACAATGTATAGCCGAAAAGTCAGAGGCCAGAAATGCAGGCAGAAAGTTTTGTGATATGCATATGAAGTAACATATGTCATAAATGCAACAGTAGATCAGAAGTTTCCTGGCAATTGTCGAAAATTATTTGTAGATTATTTTGTG